AAGGCACACTTTTACCGCTCGAAGTGTACCGAATTCTTAAAAGTTACGAGGCCCACACTAACAATCCTAGTGGCTCCCCGAGATGAAATAGGCTCGGGTTCGTCCACGTAACAAACTCTAAAAAACCAAACTCGCCATTTCCTCGGCTCTCGCAGCCGCTTAGCCCTGGCTCGTAACACATGAATATTTTTCGGCAGCGCCTTTATTCCGAGGCGGCAAGCGACGAGCGCTGAATGTCCAGTTGTAATTCATACATATTCAAAAGTATACATTTTTCATGTTATATATTTCAATTAATTTATTACAATAGGAAACACGTAAACATAATAAAAATCATCTACTGTATATACCATATATTTGTATACGCAGTAAACAAATGGTAAGCAATTGGTAAAATAATGGAAATGAAACATAGAAGATATTCCTTTTTTTTTTTTTTTTTTTTTTTTTTTTTTTTTTTTAAATTTAAAAACCGTATAAATCGAGAGATGGGTGTATGTGTATCGCCAACATGGCGATAGCATACATTCTTGTCGACCCCACATTCAGTCAGACTCCATGTCGTTCAAAACTTGGCGCTGGACCCTCGGCGACTCGAATAAACACGCTGCCGAAAATATCTATCCTTCGTGTAGATATCATACAGGTATTGATATTTGTTATGAGGCTTGGATTTGGTATCAGAGAAACAAGATAACAAAGATATGTTAAACTATATTTATATAAAGTAAAAGTATTAAAGAAGAAAATAAAGAAAGAATACATATATATATGAACTATTTAAACAAATATAATAAAGTAATAGCTCAACGACACACTGCGCCTTTTACACGCGTTCATACTGTAACATGCGACTAACAGTCGACACTCAGCACGCACTCCACGCACATTACACACAGCGCCATATACTTCTGCTTATAGGGAAATTACGAATCTCAACAATACTTTTATGAGGTCGATACCTGAAAGGGTTTCAATTCGGTGCTGTATTGAATTGGTATCGATTCAAGAAGAGTCGGTATTGCCACTTGATACCAAGTACCCAAAGTTTTGATGCGTATCGATACTTCCCACTGAACACTTTGGGTATTGAATTGATCGAATATCATCAATAGTATTGGTATCGATCCCATCACTAAGCCTGAGCCTCGTAGTGAGGACACACTCACGAGCAAACTCGGCTTCCGCTAAAGATAAAAACAACGGAAGGGAAGGGCCTCCTGCCACTTGGTAAATTTATTTCAAATACTGAAATAAATGTTAATCTGAATATTGATTTGGCATAAATTTCAGTAGCTCGCGAAACCAAGTGTACTTATGCGTAATGCGAACTTGCCAGTATTCAAACGCTATTAACGTAAAAATGTATGGGAGTACGAAAAAAGTTATACAACGAGAAATTATAGCAAAATTTAATGCTCTTTTAATACTATTTTTATAAACTGCAAAAACATCGATAAATTCAAAACTTGAAGGCCTGGTCGGCACCCTTTCCTGTTGTCCGATAGTAATAAACTTTTTCAGGGATTATTGTTTTACAAAATGGAACTATACTAGGGGGTAAAAGCAAAAAAAATCAGGTGTTGAAAAATACGGACCATCCTATGATACACAAACTAAAAAATTGTAAAAGTGCTTGCTGATTCAGATGTTTTCATTTTGAAATACGTGCTCTAATCAAATCCAGTCTTTTCCAAAAAAAACTTTGTAAAGTACTGATTGGTTTCCATTACTACGTTGTCGAGGATATCATTGTCCAAAAGAAGTCTAAACCAATCAGATGGCTCTGAATCTGGAGACATCTGTTAACAACTTTCTTGTTTTTTTTAATACGAAATCTTCTATACCAGTGGCTTCACCTTCCCCCGTATGCATCGTATAAATTCTTGGGTTTTTTCCTCTTCGGATGTGTTTGTCTCTATGGGGATACTAACCGCTATGTATTAAACAGATCAGGTAAAATAAAAAATAAAAAATAGAACATTAAGTTGAAAAAATAAGGAAAACGTAATAAAATAAATTTGACTTACCGTTAGCACTATCAACTTCTTCATCTGTCAGTTTCGTATGCATTGATATCCAAATCACTGTCTGTGACTTCTTTATCGATGTCAGAATCATACAAAAACTGTAACATTTCTTTTGCTTTAAATCGTTTTGGACCTTTCACAACTAGTTCACGTCTTTAGATGCCAGAAGGATTAGGCTGATTTTCATTTCTGTCGCTCATTTTTATACTAATGCAGTTTCTTTAAAGAATGCAAGAAAATTGGTCCGACGTTAAACACAGTTATATTGAAGTCTATAGGTATTCTATGCAGACATAGCTACATGCATTGTTGAACTGAACGGACTGACAAATAACCAAAGAATCGTAAAACAATTGGTGATACCACAAGTCGTTACGCACACCATAGTAACGTAAACAATCTCGCCAATCGGCGTCTTTCGCAGCGAATGTGTTAAGATATCCGCAAAGAATTTTATAAACAATTTTCCTCTCGTAATAAAGTTTTGAACGCTGTATGTTCGAAATAAAACATTTACTGATCTATGCTTTTACGATGGTTTGTTATCACTGCGATGAGCAGAATGCATTAATAATGATTGGCCTTTATTTTAGGAACACCCTTATATTTTTAGTTTCCTATGTACCGAAATATACATATCATTGGGATGTATTTTCTATCTTTCGATAGTTAGTTGTCAGTGTAAAAGTATAATGTAATAAGGATGAGAGCAAGTAACTTCCATATGTAACATAACTACATATTATTCCCATAACATTCCTTAACATTATGAATTTCATGTAATAGTAATAAAGTGAACTGTCCAAGAGTTGTAACGTTAATTTTTATAGTGGTCACTAAATGTTTTTCTCTCTACCTAAACACTTCCATATATTTGCATTAATACTAATTCACAACTGTGTTTGTTTTCCAATATTTTACGAGACGTATACAAGGTCACAACATTCCTTTCATAAATTAGCGGGCTGCTTCTTTGTTAAATTGTTCTTCAAACTGCGTACTATACATTATTATAACATTAAATAGGATTTTCCGTTGCTATCTATACTATCGTAATTGGACATTAGTTGTATTTAAAATATCTAATTATTAATAACATATATGTTTATTAGGACGTTATAGAGGACCATGGCTAGATAATCATCATTTTTCAGTAATAACGTGCAAACTAAGAAAAGATTATAGTTGATTAAAATATCAATAAACGATTAAAATACTATACAATACAGGTTGAAATTACCATATCTCATCATATTGACGTATAACATTAAATATGGCACTTTTTGGTACACAACACGTGGGAACAATTTTTATCTTATATTAGGTTTATACTTATTACGAATGTAGAGCGTGTGAGCTTGCGTGTCTGTCCTGTCGAGTGTTTGAGTGTATGTGTGCATCAGATTTTTTCTCATGAATAGTACATTAACCATAGCGTTATGATTTCATTTTTGCTTTATTTATGTATAATTCATACACTTTAATAAAATTATTCTTTAAAATAGTTTCGTCGCGGGAGTTATCCTAAGAGAACGTATCCCTGCGTTTGAACGCATGTTATGGCGTGCTTGCCGCGGTAATGTATTCTTACGTCAAGCTGAAATTGAAACTCCTCTTGAAGATCCTTCAACAGTAAGCGCAAATTTGAAATCGTGTATTGTTTCATTTTTTCCTAACAGTCTTAATAAATGTTATAATATATTGTTTCTTTGTAGGGGGACCAAGTTTTCAAGTCTGTATTTATCATATTCTTCCAAGGAGATCAGTTGAAAACTCGAGTTAAAAAAATCTGTGAAGGGTTCAGAGCTACTTTATATCCATGCCCTGAAGCACCCGCTGACCGCCGTGAAATGGCTATGGGTGTCATGACACGGATTGAGGATTTAAATACAGTAAGTAATTTTTCCTGGATAACATTCGGTTTTATAATTATGGTCACTTTCATTCAATGTGTGTACTTTAATTTAACTAGCTGTTATAAGATTTGAATCATTTATTACATTATACATTAGGTTCTTGGTCAAACTCAAGATCACCGACATCGAGTCTTAGTAGCTGCTGCAAAAAATATTAAAAACTGGTTCGTGAAAGTCCGAAAGATCAAGGCGATTTACCATACTTTGAATTTATTCAACTTGGATGTTACACAGAAATGTTTAATTGCTGAATGCTGGGTCCCAGTGTTGGACATTGAAACAATTCAACTTGCATTACGTCGTGGAACTGTAAGTGTTTTTCTTCATAATTGCTTCTGCAGATTCAACCAGCTTTTCTGAAATATAAATATTTTTTTTAACTGTTCTTTATTCTTTTAGGAGCGTAGTGGTAGTTCCGTTCCACCGATTTTAAATCGTATGGAAACCTTCGAAGATCCTCCCACGTACAATCGGACAAACAAGTTTACGAAAGGGTTTCAAGCTCTAATAGATGCATACGGAGTTGCTTCTTACAGAGAGATGAATCCAGCTCCTTACACGATAATAACATTCCCATTTCTATTTGCTGTAATGTTCGGAGATACAGGTCATGGGCTTATCATGTTCCTCTTTGGTGGCTGGATGGTGTTAAAAGAAAAAGGACTCGCTGCGAAGAAATCTGATAATGAAATTTGGAATATTTTCTTCGGTGGTCGATATATTATTTTCTTAATGGGTTTATTTTCAATGTATACTGGAATTATATACAACGATATATTCTCTAAATCGTTGAACGTTTTCGGATCGTACTGGAGAGTTAGCTACAACTATACCACAATATATTCAAATAAGCAGTTGCAACTAAATCCTAGTGAAAAGGATCAATTTTTACAATTTCCGTACCCGATAGGAATGGATCCAGTGTGGCAGTTAGCAGAAAATAAAATCATTTTTTTAAACTCATACAAAATGAAAATCTCAATCATTTTTGGTGTTATACATATGTTGTTTGGTGTATTTGTTGGATTATGGAACCATTTGTACTTTAAAAGAAAACTTAGCATAATTTGTGAATTTATCCCACAAATTATCTTTCTGGTGTTCCTCTTCTTATATATGGTACTTCTTATGTTCATGAAATGGATTAAGTATGGTCCCAATAGTGATGGTAAATATTTTATAATATTAAACAAAAATACTAATATGATGTCGTTAATAATACTATCTAATTACTACAGGTACAGATACAGAACACGGTCCTTTTTGTGCACCATCTGTACTAGTTACCTTTATCAATATGGTGTTGTTTAATCCTGGAACTGCACCAAAGGAATGCACGCCATGGATGTATGCTGGACAAGAAGGATTCCAAACACTTCTTGTGGTTATATCTGTTCTGTGTATCCCATGGATGTTGTTCGCAAAGCCCTTTATGCTAATGTACAATAGAAAGAAGCAACACCAACAGGTTATATGAAAAACTTTCATAAATAAATATCTTAATTGACACATTCACTGTGTAGATTTTGTTTCAACTTCAGTAAAAAAAAGTTACAATAATTAAAAGAATCTTCTTTTTTCAATTGATTCTGTACAAGTAGTAAAACTATTTAATTAGATTGACTATAAAAAAGTTAGAATCGCTGCAGAATTAAATACATAAATATACATACACTATCTGACACAGACTATGGACATGTTAATATTCACACATAGAACCACATATTTCTAATAGTGTTATTGGAATTACAAACTGTAAAGTTTAAGGGAAATTTCTATGACATTTATGCACAGAATATGAGATTTCACACAATTTTCTAATTAACGGTTCAAGGCATGTGATGTTCACGTATATGGCCACCGCTCGGGAGACCGCCTGACCATATACATTGGAATGTGCTACAACAAACGACGTTACAACGAACCGTTTTTATTAGTACAATCAGAATGTTACAACGAACAAATATGTCATTACCAACGCGGGCAAATGCATTTGATCGACCATTTTGTAAACTGTCCCAGTCCGCCTTCATTATTATGGTAAAGAAACAAATGAAGACACGAATCTGTTAATAACAGTCGTGAATAGTATTGGAGCATCAATTATCATATTTTACTACTTTTTGTGAAATTACATACAATATTTCAATGTAAATGTTACAACAAACAGATCCCACTGTATCCGGAAAGTGAGATTTCCGAGAATTGACCACCGTTATCTGACTCCGGCTCACTCTGCCGTGCGTGCATGACGGGTACGAGAGAGACGTAGGCAGTATGAGTAAGAAAGAATAAGTAGAGTGTAATAATAGTGTAGAGACAGATCATTCCCTAGTACTAATAATTAATTGTTTCGTTCAGATCCTATTAAAAAATTATTGAATGAAGACAATTGTAAGGCAATTCAATCAATTAAGGTCTAGGCTTTGGTATTATTGAAATAGAATATTTAGAAAGTACAGTTGTGTAGTTCTTCCATGTTATTTCTAAAATAAAAATAAAGTAAATAATATAAAATGGTTGAAATGATTAGTTATTTTAAGGTATTACTTTATGTTATTTCAATTAAAATGTAACTAAGCCTCTTAGCGGCACGTGATATCGATACATATTATATTCTGATGGGTGGGCAATTACATGACCAAATTACAATATATCAAACAGTTCTACTTCGTCAATTAAATAGTACTCATTTAGTTTAAAATTAACATAAATGTAGTCATGTTTGGTATTATTTTCATCGTACAAATTTCAATAATCAGACCATAGCCATCTCGTTACAGTATACTAAAAATACAACAAAATTATATTTTTCTTATTCCGGTATTTCAATACCAGTTTGTTAGGTTTTTTAAAAGATATTTATTAAGTAGATACAGTCTACACAGTGGACAGTAATTAAAATAAAATATAAATCTTTGCACGTGCCTTTTGTACCGTTTTTTTTGTACATTCTACACTCTACGCGCTACTGATATACGTTTCGTTCTTGACACTTCTCTGCACGCACACACGTGACGCTGTTGCTAACGCGCGCCTTTTTTAAATTATTTGCAGAGTTCAATTTATTAGATTTCCTAGAATTTTTGCATACGGATCATAATCAAACATCTTAATATTAGTTAAATCTGTTTTTTTTCCTATCCTGTTTTCGTGTAGAGTTTTACTCTCTGTTGCTGATGGGCTTCTATTTGTCAGATATACAGCAGCCCTTACTGCCGCGCCCCACATATTTTTATCGAGTACTGAGTCTGCAATTAATGATCTTGCCTTCTCCATTAAAGTGCGGTTTAGTCTATCCGCTTTTGCATTTAGTTGTGGAGTGTATGGTACAGTTGAATCGATTTTTATTACCTTTTCTTTTGCACCAGCTCTGGAATTCTTTGTTCATATATTCCTTACCATTGTCACAGCAAAATTTGTACATTTCTAAATTCCACTTTGTTTCTGCTAACATAAGATATTCCTTTATTATTTGTACTGCTTAATTCTTGGGTTTCATTAGATAAACCATACAGTGGTGTGTAATAATCAGCTAGAAAAATGATGAAGTATCTGTTCCATCCCAAGTCTTTGGATTTATTAAACCGCATACATCTGAGTGTATCAACTTAAGTGGTTTAGTTGCTCTTTCTCGTTCTTTGTCAAACTGTTGCCTTGTTTATTTTGCCTTTTGGCAAAGGATATAGCAGGATAAGGGGGTCAAAAATGCCCTTAGACCAATTTTCGACTTGTGATATACCATTCGATAGCTTGTTAAGAAAAAATAGTCCGTGCCAAGTTTCAACCCTCTATCTCGATCGGGAGGGTAGTAATAGGGTAAATTCGGATTACTGGTTTTTCCTCTATTTTCCCTCTTTAATGACGCGCAAAAATTCTGTAAAAAATCTGATAGATAGTATTTATCGGGGCGCGTGTTGGAGATTTTTGTGCGATTTTTTGGTTGAGTATCCTAGTTGTGAAAAATAAAGAATGATAAAAAATATTTTTTTCTTATTAAAGTTTTGAAGTGACTACATACATTTATCATTTCACAGTAGCCACATATTATCATAAGTAGTATCCTCAATTTTCTCAGATTTTTTGGTAGGGTGCACCGTAGTTTGAAAAATCAAAAACCGATTTTTTCTGTGAAAAAGTAACGTATACTTTGAATTTTTGTATTTCCTTTATTAAATAAGTATATTATAAGATTTCACGTATTTCTGCATTCAACAAAATAATGTATAAACTAAAAAAATTACATTAACACGATTGCTTGACACTATACTATGTCCCTTATATACGGAAATATTTAATCAAATACCAACAGGCACCGATCGCGCAGCGGCTAGTGCTATATTTTCATTATTTTTTCATTATTTTTTAGCGTTTTTGATTTTTCACAATTAGAATACTCACCTAAAAAATCTTCAACACATACTTTGACAAATACTATACATCGGATTTTTTACAGAATTTTTGCGAGTCATTCCCCCCCCCCCCCCCCCCCCCTCTCGGTCGAGATAGTGGGTTGACATTTGGCATAGACTGTTTTTTCTTGAGCCTAGAAAGGAGCCTAGATGGAATTATCGTCTGTTTACCGAAAGAAGACGCTGGGAGGTAGGCCCGACTTTTTGCGGTGTTCTTGCGATCGCGAAACATCTACGGCACTTGTGTCTCTCTCACCTTCGGTTATTTGTTGCAGAGAAAACCTAAATTTTTCCGACTCCTCCAGATATAATGCACGAGATCAATTTCGGGGTTTCGAGCTCATTTGCACGGCTAGATCTCTATCAGAGAAGTCTCTGAATGGATTAATTCGAAAATTAAAAAACAGATAATTTAACTCTTCCTCCAGACTTCGTACAAATTTGAACTCTTAATGTTGAAAATTGACACTACAGTGATTTAAAAAAAAAAAATTATCTCGGCTCTTAGTTAACGTAGAGTGGAATATTTTGTTTTACAATACAGCACTTCGATACAGTCGAAATTGAAGAAGATATTCAAATTGTTTACAAGAAAAAAGATACCCATACTTTAGAACCATATTTGGGTGGTTTAATTTAAAAAATTCACTTCATTTGGAAATGTACATGATAGTACAACTCTCCAGCTGTAACAAATACACCCCCTGATTACTTTCCGACTTGCCAAAGATGTAGAATTTAACTTTTCCGAAGACGCTTTTCGAATAAATAAATGACTTTATCTAAAAACGAATAAATATTTACTGCTGAAATTTGGCACACTTCTTAACCGTAATATAGACCATATTGTCTTAAAATTTCAAACCTCTATGGTCAAATCCCTTCGAGTATTAAACAACTGAAAAACAGTCTATTTCGACAATTAGAATTCTTTTGCAACTTAACGTGTGGACTGATTTTAACGTACTTTATGTCACTTTGTAGGTATTTCTAATATCTAAATTTTCTATTTGACTTTTTTTTCTCTAAAATCTTTACATTTCCTTCTGCAAGCGAAAAACATGTTTCTCAATTCTTTTCGAATTCTTTTTACAATGTTCCCCAACTTTTCATGAGTCTCAAACGTATACATTTCATTTCTAATGACTTTTCGAATATTTTCATGTAAAAACATAGCTACTTAAAGTTATTTTTTGAAATGAGGGTTTTGAAGTCTAATTCGACTGGACTAAAAGGGAAAACTAAGAGTTTCGGAAAAGTATGGAAGTAAAATTATCTGTTTATCTAATCTGTCAGATTAAGAATATTTCTATTCCTCAATAATTGTGACTATTTGGGTTGTCCACACAAGGGTTAATATCGTATTAAGTAAACACTGTTATAGAATAGGTCCAATTATAATTCCTTGTCATAAATGACGAATAAACCAAAAATATTCAGTAATTACACGAAGATTACAGATGTATTCTTTAAAGCTTCACAATTGAAAATATGAATTTTTATGCAAATTAACTAAATGAATCGGGTGAACTTTCGAAAAGCACCCACACCCGATGACCCTGATTTTGACATAAGTTATTAAGGTCACGCTCCCGAACAACCATTAGAAGGATTAAACCGCCGATCAATGGGTATTAAAAAGTTATTAACACAGGAAGATTGAAAAACGTACCGTAATTTTCCTAGATATCTGAACGTTTATAACGTAGTGTTTTTAAAAAGTACTAGTCAAAGCATTATATTGATCTGAGTTGGTTTGAGCGAGTTCAAAAGCCAAAAAAAAAATACTGTTCAAAGCGTCATCCTGCTCTGAATTAGTTAGAGCTAGTTAAAGAACAAACTGGTAGAATAAATACTTACTTATTTCGTCGTTGAATTCCGCCAAAAATCTGCTGTGATAATAATGATACCTTTTTTCTTGAACGGTCTATAATCAACTCTGATTTATTTTTTCCTTGACCTCTCTCTAATCAACCTTGAAGCATTCTACTGATCCGAGTTGGTTAGAGACAGTTCAAACATTTTTCTGTTCATAACTTTTTAATAACCAACGATCGACGGTTTAAACCTTTTGAAGGTTACTCGAGAGGCTGATCCTGATAACATACGTCAAGGTCAGGATTATCAGGTGTGGATGCTTGTCAGAAGTTTATCCGATCACTTACATTTAAAATGATAAAAATAAATTATAAATCATAGCAATAAACAATACAATTTAAAAAGTGTTCCTAATTGTATCATTAGATTTTCCCATAGACATAATAAATACTTACATCTCATACTACAATTATTAATAAAATGATTAAGTATGTTAAAAATTAACTTTCTCTTGTCTAATTAGTTAAACAATCATGGAACAGAAAATGGGGATGTAGAAGGTGGTGTTGATACAATCCAGCCAAACAGTGGCATTGTTCAAGGTGGTCACAAGGAAGAAGAAGAAGAGATGGGCGAAATGTTTATTCATCAAGGAATTCACACTATTGAATATGTTCTTGGCAGTGTATCTCATACTGCGTCATATTTGCGTTTATGGGCTTTATCACTTGCTCATGCTCGTAAGTTAAAAAAATTGGATCATGATACCAACAAATTTTGTATGTGTATTTTAATGTATTTGAATCTATCGTTACTTTCATTATTTCTCTTAGAATTATCAGAAGTTTTGTGGACCATGGTCATGAGAAATGGATTAACACGCGAAGGTTGGTCAGGAGGTATTATTTTATGGGCTGTGTTTGCATTTTGGGCTGTTTTAACCATCGGTATCTTAGTACTTATGGAAGGATTATCAGCTTTCTTACACACATTGCGGCTTCATTGGTATGTATTGTTTATATGTATGTACATACACAATATGGTCTGGATTAATGCAACAGAATCAGGTCCGACTCAAATTTCATTTCTTAGTGACAAATCCTCACATGACCTTCGCACCGCGACGAGACACCACAAACAATAATGTGTAGAAATTTTCATAATATATGCAAATGGGAAAGTATAATCAATCAATTCCTGACAGTTTCCTAATGAAAATGAGTTCCAGCACGATATAAATCGGATAATGAAAAATCCCTCACACTTTCTAATTTCCGCATGAACAATTCACTCTCCGGTTAACTTTGAAAGTTCTCAACACTGACCTAGTCTATAAAATTAACCGATTTGTCTAATTTTTATCAGAAAAAGTCCGCAGTTGATTGGTGATGTTTTCCTAGCGATATTGGTACTAAATAATAAAGAAAATTTTTATTTTACTGGTAAAAGTTTCACACTAAGTGCTAAGAATGTTGCCCTCGGTCTTTCCAGCGTACTAATTAGAAGCAAAAAAAAGTGATGGAGCTAACTTCACTCGTAGATACCGAAGCTAATTTCTTCGCATATATCTAGACCTTATTGTATATTTCAAATTATTTTTATAATATTATTATTTAGAAAAATACTATCTCAAAATGACGCATTTATAATATATACCATGTAACTCAATTAATTACATTAAGTTAACATTAATTCAAAAACAATTTTCACAGGGTTGAATTCCAAAGTAAATTTTATTCTGGGGAAGGATATAGTTTCCAGCCATTCTCGTTTGAAATTATTTTGGACGCTGCGCAATCCACCGCAGAGGACTAAAATAAAGAAACTTCATTTACAATATACATTACCAGTAATAATGTTACCTTGTGATATAAGAGCAATCGGTATATTTAAATATATCAGATGTTATTGTCACCTATAGGAAAAATAGTGCATGCGCTAATGATTTATCTGATAATAAATAAATGACTCTTTTAATTTGCGATTGTGCATTAGATTATATTCACTATGCAGTTGATGAAAATAGTGTAAGTAAACTTAATGTAGAGTGTTATAATTAACAGTTTTCTCTACTACGTATTTATCTATGGAATTCATTTACATATATAAAAAGCATAAAAAGTGTAATTAGATCTGAAACGTGTAATGAAAGCAAATAAATATTATATGTAGGCATGTGTATTTAAGTGTATATATGTATACATATACATGTACTATATCTTATCTATTGCAGCTTATGTGACATGACAAGAGTAAAAAATACAAGTGAAAATTGAAAGTGCAATAAAATTCCATTTGCGTGTGTTTTATGGTGATAATAAATGATAAAAAGATAATATTAAATAATAATATAATAATAAATAATAATAATTTATTGGAATAAAAATTAAATTGTCAATTATATTACATAATTACTGTTTCATCATCAACATGTTTACTTTTCCCAAGAAAAAATTGTACATCAAAATCAGAAAAAGAATCTTGCATGGTATAATTTAAACCGTCGTTTATAGAATAATATATAAAAAAATAAAAAATAATGGAAAGTTTTAAGAAAAATCCAATTACTTTTGGTATTTAAAAATAACAGTGAACTATACCATACAATACACAAAGCTAGGACACTGTCTTCTTTCTTCTGATTTCTAATAAAGTAGCTATTATTTGTTTTTGCTTTGATATTCTAAAAATTGAATATACCTATAATCTATAATATTACAGTTGACTCTCTCTTAACCAGACCCTATGGAACTGGTTTCCTGGTTGAATAAACAACTGGTTGGTTAACCCAAAAATTTGTGTCAGGAATCATTTATAAAGTTTATATAAATAAAAATTAAAACTAATATCCATTTAAACAATGTTTAGAAAATTAGAAGGTACATTTGGCGTTACAGTGAATATGGGGCAAGACGGGAAAACTTTGTTGACAAAAAACCATAGATACTACATATGCACGTAAACACATCAGTCCAAAAATCAGTGTTAGAGACCACACGTGTCACAAGTTACGACAAGATTTTCAATTTTCTCAATAAGTATGTAATTATACAGAAAGTTTACAGTAGTGTCAGTTTATTTGTGTGAATGTTGTTTGACCACAAACGGTAAGTTAATTTATCTTATTAGTTACTTTTTCATAAATTTACAGTTTTCATTAAGAAATTGTTCAAGTTATTTTACAAAAAAACATGTTAAGTATGAAGTGCATACTGGGACAAGACAGGATGTTCTTTCCATAACGACTCTGTGACGCAAATAGTGAATTCGTCTATACCAATAAATGTATGTCGCAACTTAAATTTTTCTTTCAATATTTCAACAGAAGACATTTTACCATCATTAACTTCTACACCGTACAAACCTGATTCGAAAAAAACAACCGAAGAAAAAAGAAAACGAATCCTAAAAAACGAAAAAGAAGTTTTGGAGAATCACGAATCCCAAATAACACATGACGCCTTGAAGATGGCTTAAAGGCGTCTTAGACGTAAAATGGGCGTGTTTAAGGCGTAATGTGCTATCTGGGAGACTTGCCATTAAAAGAAGGAAATAGAATTTTTTTATTTTCAATTATCCGTACATATACCAATCTACAGTTTTCAACATATAAATTCCCTGATAACCAGTTGTGTACAAGTTTCGAGCAAATTGCCAGCAATAAATGACTTGCTTGTCTACAAATCTTAAAAAACTTGCTTCTCTAAAAAACTTGTCTAAAAATCCATAGTCATCTGTTTCTGCGTTTGACTTGGGTTTTGCAGGAAACGCCAGCTGACAAAATGGTAAAGCAAATTTGGCAGAAAGTCTTCCAACAGGACCTATGTCAAATTGAGGGCAAAACCGGAACATGATTTGCGTAAACCAATTTTCAACATATGTTGCTGCCAATGTGCGCGCAAGTTGTTTATAACAAATCTTGCAATCAAACTTCTAGCCATAACTATATAACAGGCATTGGACAAAATTTGGCTTTGCAGATTTGACCGACTGGATTGTGTGTTTCTTTGTGAAATGCGTCAATAACATACGTCATTTTTCTCCCATAGCAGTCCCGCATGTGAGGTAAAGTGGAAAAATATAGTTAGTTAAGAAAAAGACGTACTTATCGTTAAATTTTTTATTTTTATGATCTCAGTTTTGTTTTTAAATTTGAAAAGAAATATACCTATATTGATTCATGAGTAATGTATTTGATTTTTTTTGCGTTTCTTTTTAGCATTACCGTCAGTTACCGTCTTGCCTCCTTGCCTGACATTCCCTTACGCGTTATATGTGAGGGACTTAGAGAATATTGTATGAATTTCAAAATGAAATCCGAAGAATTGACCAGTTGTCTCTACGCTGGGCTTTTCAATGAAAATGGAGTCAGATAAGACTACGCGCGCGCGCGCGGTGTTGTGTGTGCGCGCGCGCGGTGTTGTGTGTGCGCGCGCGCGCGCGTGAAGGTGTGTGATATACTAAGTGACTTTACTGTCCACAGTATCTTTTAATGAAACGTACTCACTTATATGATAATTTAAACCTTTCTTGAACATTCGTCAAATATCTTGAATATCCCCAAAGACGATATTACCATCTAAAAGTAAGAATTAAGTATTATACCTCCATTGTTTCATTGCTTTATTTTAAACTGGAAATCATACACACGTGCGTTACGTAATATTATTTGGCAATATCTTGTAACATTTTTTTATCAGTGTCACATGAATATTAAAAATAACAGGTGTAAAAAATGTACAGTACTCGAGTATATTTGTCACCGGCTTTGTTTATGTTATTTTTCATTTTAAGAGATTATTATTAAATTGTACATTTTATGTATTTATAATATACACGACTGTATAAAACTCATTATCTTAAAATGCATTGTGTTGCATATCTTGATTATAAAAGTCATTTCAGCACGGTCATGTAATCCGTGTAAAATTATACAATGAAAATATACAATTTTTATCACAATGGACATTAATTGATACACTCTCAAATTCTGATAACGATAATGACTCGTCTATCAGTTTTCGTTACTATCAACTCGTTCGTCAGTTTTGTGCGCTTCCACTTCCACGGAAACAGCGCAAGCTTTCTTGTGTGCGGATCTGTTCTGTTCCAGTCGTCCCTTCGATTCGGAGTCGCGTACTTCGTGCAACTTCGTGTCTACCACTTCCCGATTCCTTACAGTTTATAAACGTGTTCCTCTGATATCCACAAAAAATACGACCATGGCAGCCAAACAGCGTGTTTGCATTATTGGATCTGGAAACTGGTAGGTAGTCACTAATATTAACACTTATATTTTTTATGACAAACTATTTGTCTGCTGATTCAGTTAATCGTATTGCACGTGCTAGATACAAAGAGAGCTTGGTGTGTCACATACTTATGATTACAGTTTATTTCCCCTCTTACTATACTTTTAAAAATTGGGACTCTGGAACAATTGTCATTTGTCATATGTTATTAATACAGAGTAGCAATTCTTTGTAATAGTTCAGAGCGTATACAAACACACGCATTAGGGATTAATAAAGTAGTAATCAAATGTCCACCTAAAACATACAAAATCATGTTATGAATATCATACACATGATAATGTGTAAATCGAATGTTCAGGTTTTTCGATATTCAGGTTATATTCAAAAATATAATTCGATAATTAAGTTGCACGAATACATTTTCGACATACAAGTGAATACATTGGAGACGTATAAAGATTTGTAGAAATGTCTTAAACAAAAAATAAATTCTTATTACTTTTTTAATTAAACCTTTGAAAATAATTTTATGATAGGTATTATAACCCTCATTTATGTCTGCGTACGGATTACAGGGGTTCAGCTATCGCTAAGATAGTTGGAGCAAATGCTAGTAATCTAAGCATCTTTGATGATTACGTTACGATGTATGTATATGAAGAAATTATCAATGGAAAAAGGTTGACCAATATTATAAACGAGACACATGAAAACGTAAAATATCTTCCCGGACATAAACTTCCAACCAATGTGGTAAGTATAGTTGTTTCATTGTATGTTTTATAATGAAATTCATTTCATTCTCGTGTTACATATCATTGTTCTTGTTAATGTTTTTTCTTGGCGCATTGCTATCGAAAATTTGAAAATATGCGTGTTTGTGTATACGTAGGGTTAAGAGAATGAGATACCTAAATTGTATGTATACATATATACTATGAATTTTGGGTATACGTTTCGGTTTTTTGCATCATAAACGCAATACACTTATACATATTTGAATACGTACGTGAACATTAAGCAATAAGTTATATAAGTGTGTATGCATCTTACACACTATAAGAAATTTACTTTAATTCACCTTTATAAGATTTCGATGATTGAGGTAGTATTATCAGTTTCACACATTTTTTCGATAAATTTAATTTCATTATTTAAAACTCTCTAAAACAAACAACATCGGTGAGGCATTTCGCAGTATCTAGGTGTGTCCTACTGTGCTGCATAGTAATGAATAGTACATAACATGCTCCTGCGTAAGTGTACGGAATAAGAGTACAATTCACGTTTACATAACCCTCAAGTTCGTAAGATAAGGAATACATACTGCTTGTGTATACATGCATACACACACGTATCATACAGTGACTCACAAATTCGTTTACAAGAACGTTCGAAATAACAATTAAGTGTAAATATTTGTATGCAACTCGTGCTTACGTGACCTGATTATCTTTACTTTCATCATCCGTAAGAGGTAAATTGGTCTCAATTTTTATATAAAATTCGTACATATGTAGTTGGTACATACGATGGTCAAATAAACGTGAGAGCCATCTGTGAACAAATTTATGAGTTACAGTATATATTATTTTCCACTGTGTGTTAAATTCAGACTTAAAGAAGATAATTTTGCAATTCTACCTGGTTAGTCTTTAATAGTGAAATAAAATAATTTTTCTTTTTGAAATTTCAAATAATTCTCAGTTATTAAGTATTATAGTTCATTTCGTTTTGATATTAAGATTTGCCCTGTATTGAATCAACCAATTTTCTGGTATTATCCTGAACTATTTGAGATAAGTATGTGTGTGATGTATATTCATATATGCAGTTACCGAATTTTCAATATCAATTACTTTCCACAGCAGAACCTTGGCCGTGACCAAGACGACTTAGGTTCTATTTAGAGACACTACAATAAAAGACTGGACTTGAGCCAGTCAGTTTTTATTGGTTCGCCAAACCTTTGCTATACCCTCTCATTTTTAAATTTATGAATTATACTAATCTTAATTGTAACACAATTTTAAGAAAATAAATGTTTGGAGGTTCGTAAAAAAGATTCTTTGTTATATAATTCTAATTTTTTATAATATCTATTTGTCTTAAAGTGCAGAATTGAATAGTAATGAACATGACAAATGTATATTCACAAAATTTTATTTTATATGTATAATCATAGTATTAACTTACCAATGTATTTTTCATATAATTATTACACTTGTATTATTTATTCACAATAATTAAATAAAATGACATAAATAAATTGAAATAAATAAATTAAAATGAAAAACGAAAGAAAACTTTTTTATGTATAATCATGGTTGTGAAACACAATTCTATTATCTTTTTACAGTAATTAACATTTATGTATGTATGTATGTATGTATGTATGTATTAGTTTATTGACTTCCTTTGGGGTTACAAGTACTTCCGTTTCCAGCCTTATCCAGCCTTTCCAGCATTTATTTCTATCTTACATTGTACTTTTTACGCTTACATCTTATCTTACTCTCTACTTTTATATCTTACATTCTAGTTTTTATCTGACATTCTACTTATAACTAGTTTACCGCTTTAAACTCTGATCAGTCTCTTATATTTTGTTCTCTCTCCCGTTTTCGCATTCCTACGCTTGCCTTTTGCGCCCGTCATCGCCTTTCTCTGCTTTTCTCGCGTTCACCTTATCTTGTGTATATCCTTAAACTTAACGCCTTATCCTATCTTTCTTGCCTTGCCTTATCTCCTCTATTCGGGTGTTTATCGTCTTTGAATTTGTATTCCTTAATTTTTATCTTATCTCTGAACCCTCCACCTTCGACTTTCTATCCTTCCGTTTCCGTTCTCTCTCTCTCTCTCTCTCTCTCTCTCTCTCTCTCTCTCTCTTTCTCTGTGCCTGTGTGTTTGTCTCCTCCCTCTTCTCTCTCCTTTCCTTCTTCCACTTTTCCTGTTATTTTACTTCTTTCTTCAACTATTTCTCTTAACTACCCTTCTCCTTCCTCCCCTAGTACTTCTTTTCCTCTCTCTTGCCAGCTCCCATTGTTTCCTCTATCTCTACATCCCTCCCAAATATGTTCCCATGTCTCTTCCTCCTTTCCGCATAATTTACATACCCTTTTCTCTATCTCTTCCTAGTATCTTGCTTCCCTTACCTCATTTCCTAACCTACAACGCGCTACTCTTCTCCACTTACTCTCTCCCCAGCCTTTTGCCATATATTCTGGAAACCCTTCTCCCTTCACCCACTTATACCACTTGTTGTACTTTGATTCCCTTATCCTTTCCCACGTTTGTCTATTATCTTTCTCTTCGTATCTTTTTTCTATCTCCTCGTACCCCTCCCTCCCCTTTTCTCTCAGTCTTTTCACCTCCTCCATCTGTATTCCTACCTCTTTAAAAAATTCTCTCCTTTCCTCCTCCCACGCAGATAATTTTTTCTCTTTTCTTTATTTCCTCCCAGCACTTTCTTGCCCATTCACTTCCTCCATCCTCCTCTAGTCTTATTTCATAGTTCCATGCCCTTCTTCCTGCTTTTATGTGCACCTTCTCCCTATTTACCTCTTTCCTCGCCATATACCCTGGTGTTGTCCACTCCACCCCTAGTACCCATCTTGTATATTTTTCCTGGCTTGCCTCGACCGCTTCCCCCCCCCTTCCATCCTCATATCTCTACCCCATAACTCTCCACTGTCCACATTAATGCGTCGAACAAAAATAGTCTCCTCTTCACGTCCTTCGCGAACTTCCTTTTTCCCATTCCCCACACCTGCCTCATCGCGATTATTGCCTTCCTTGCTCTTATTATCACTTGCCGCTTTTGTGCCCCATTCCTTCCTATCTCATACCCTAGGTTGTACCCTAGGTATGTAAAGTGATTCACCTTCTCAATTTTTCTTCCTTTCCATCTCTACGTGAATTTCTTCTTCCTTCCTCCTCCTTTCGCAATCTTCATCACTTTCGTTTTTTCTATGTTTAACTCTAGCTTTTTCTTATCCAGATACCTTTCTAGCCCAGCTATCATCGCCCCCAATTCACTCTCGTCTTCTGCAATCAGACATTCCGCATTCTCACCCGACAGGGATCTTATCCCCTCCCCTCATCCCCCTTTTCCTAGTTCTTCCTCTAGGTCAGCTATCAGTGTGTTGAACAAGTGAAGGCTCAGTGGGCATCCCTGCCTTACCCCCTTCTCTGTCCAAAAGCTTTCCTCCAGTTCCCCCTACCCTTACCCTGTTCTTCGTCTCCGCGTACACTTCTATCCTTTTCCTCAGCCCTACGCTTACCCCTCTCTTTTCCATCGCTCTCCATAGGACCCCCCTATCTACTAAATCAAATGCCGTTCTTACATCTATAAACAGAGCTATCATTTTTCCTCCTGGCCTTTCTATATTTCTTCCTATTAAATAATTCAAAATATAAGTGTTGTCTACTGTACCCCTTCCCCTTCTGAAGCCCGTCTGATTCTCCGGTATCATTTTTTTTTCATCTATTTCTTTTACCAGCCTTTCTGCCAGCACCGATGCGTACATTTTATATAGTGATGACATTACTGTCACCCACCTATACTCCTCTACCCTCATTCCATCTCCCTTTTTTATGAAGGATATTATTAATCCTTCCTTCCATTCTTCCGGCCACCCTTCCCCTCTCCATACCCTATTTATTATTTTTCGTGCCCACTCTTGTACCTTCACCCCGTGTATTTCCATACCTCATTTGGTATTTGATCCAATCCCATAGCTTTCTTGTCTCTCAGTTTTCTCCTTTTCTTTCTTATCTCTTCCCCTATTACCTCCTCACTTCCTTCCTTTGTTCTTTCCATTCTTTGTCCCGTTACCGCTTTCCGATCTACCCCTGTTAGCACCTGCATATAATGTTCTTTCCACTCTTTCATCCCTATCTTTTCGTTTACCCTCTTCCTTACTTTTCCTCCCCCTATTCACAAGCTCCCACACCTCCTTCTCATTCTTTACTTCTTCTGCTTCTTTCACGAACCTGTCCGCCTTTTCCTTTTTTTTTCCTCACACTTTCTTTCGAACTGCCTCTTTGCTTCCCCGTACCCTTCTACTTCTCCCTTACCCTTTGTCCATCGTCTCAGTGCCTTCCTCGCTTCTCTCTTTGCTGCTGCACACTCTTCATCCCACCATCCCTTTCTCTTTCTCCCCCCACCCCTTTTGTAGCCCTTCCCTCAACCTCCGTAATCCCTCCTGTATTTCGGTTTCTATCCTATTTCTCTTTTTTCCCCTATCCTTGCCACTACCTCTCTGAATCTCTCCCGCCCACTCTCGTTCCACACCCCTCTCCCCGGTGTGTTCCTGTTTCCTTCCTCCCCTTTTTCTTTTCTTCTTTCCTCTCTTACCGTCACTATCAACGGTCCGAATCTATCCCCTCCCCCACTTCTAACCTCTCTACTCTATCCCCTATGCCCACCTCTCCCACTACATAGTCTATTACCGATTCTCCTCTGGCCCTTGTATATGTGAATTCTCCTCTCTCATCTCCTTTTATTGTCCCATTCAGAATCCCCCATCCTTGTTCCTCAAGCCATCTCACTAGTTTCCTTCCCTTAGTGTTCTCCGTTGCGTCCTTTGATCTCCTCATCCCTTCTTCCTCTCCTTCCAATATGCACCCTCCCCTTATTCCCGTTCTTACATTAAAATCTCCTCCTACTAGAATCTCTCTATCTTCCCCTCCCATTTCTGCCCATTCCTTCACTCTTTCCAGCTTTCGCTTTAGGTATCCACTAACGTACA